ATGATATGATGTCGAAGCTAGCACTATAGCTAATCTACAAGTTTTCTTAATGATGTCACTATCTTCAACACATATTGAAACCTTTACTAGTGACTTCCATAGTAAGTAGAAATCTTATAGACAAATATTTACTATTTTGAATATAATGAGGAGTGAGTACACGTAATAAAATTTACCAACTATTATTTTAAATTTGACGTTAGCCACTATAGTTTAAAGTTTAAAAATAATTTCAAAGAAAAAGCCAAAATAAAAAAGAGCACATATTCCATTAAAATGTAAAAAAACACATGACGCGTCCAGTGGATGAAGCATCTTGCAAGTTGACATTTTTGGGCAGTGACCTATGCAGTCTGTGTACGTATTTTACTTGTTCTTCTTTGAAATTTCGACTGCGTCCTTTGTTATTTTTCCCACACACGAGCTCATGACGTGTGCCACACCAAACCACGTGTAAGTGTTATGCTCTAAATTTAATCAATGTTGGATATAAATAATTTTAATATGATTAATGTATTTTTATTTATAATAGATATATATTTAGCCCATGTTCGGGCTCCATTAAACCAAAAATACATTTTTTTAAAACTCATTTTCAATCGCTTTTTTCAAAATAATATTACACATAAACCTAAAAAAATTTCTTAATTTTTAACCACATTATCTACAAAATTTATTATTTCAAAATATATTTATTTTTTCAAAACCACATTTTAATGGAGTCCAAACAGGGGCTTAAACGAATTATTATTATGATAAATTAAATTTATGAAGTCCGTAAATTTAAATGTTGGTAACTTTTTTTTTATCTTTTAAGGAAAGAGAACGGCACCTCCTTTAACTTTATTGATATGACCTCACTTATAACGCAGGAAAACCGTGGTTACAAGTAGTGGAAGTAATAAAACTCAAAACAATACAATCAATGAAAGAGAAATGAAGGACAAACACTAGAATCCAAAATAAAACAATCCTAGACTTAGTGAAATATCTAATATGGGTAGAAAATTGAGAATTCCTAATTGTACCCGTCTTAGCTAAAGAGTTAGCAACCTAATTCACCTATCTGAAAACACAGCTGATTGTTAAATCAACAAAATCCACCAAATCAACAATGTCATCGTGAACTTGCTGAAGAGACCAAGGAATAATACCCATGCCATTAAACCAATGACACACCACTTGGGAATCAGTTTCAAGCCATACTTTTGAAACCCCCAAAAGATAGCAAATAATACAATCTCAATTTCGGAGCCATTGCTTCCACCATGGGATTAGTAGCTACCCTAAGAAAATGAGAGAAGCCAAAAACAAATTTTCTTTTCCAATCTTAAGTTTAAGAATATTATAAGGGAGACAGGACATTCGAACAAAGAGAGGAGACTCAGTGGTTAAAGGAGTTTGAACCATACCAAGACAAAGGAGCCTTAGGACCTGCTTGAGAGTTTCGTCATACCAATTATGAGCGTTTTTTAAAATATCGATTTGAGTATCTATGAACAGATCAATTTTGAGTGGTTTTTAAAACTTACCAATCTATGTTTGAAAGTTTATTATTCACCGATTTTTTTTTAAAATAATAAAATTACTTATATATCAATTACTAAAATTTTCTTTTATACAAATTTTTTTTACTCATAAGTGATATTTTACTTATAGATAATCTTTTATACATATAAGTTAATATTTAATTTAAAAAATTAAATGAATTTAAATATTTACTTAAAATTTTTAGTTAATATTTTTTACTTATAAGTAACTTTTATAATTATAAGTTAAATTCTTACTTTAAAATAACTTTAAGTGAATTTTTTTACTTATAAGTAACTTTTTACATTTTATAAGTATTTTTTGTCTTAAATTTATGAATTTAATGTTGTTACGATTAATGGTATTTTTGCAATGTGATGCCTAAACGATCAGTGTGCCTTTAAAGTAAATTATAACAAAATAAGCCAGAAAATTATAGATATGTCTATATCATTTCATGTTTTCCTCTAATTAAAATTTTTAATTGACTGGATAATTAGGCGCCGATTGATTATTTAATGCACTAATTGATTTAAAAGATACTAGCAATGTTTTATATTGTAGAAAAGAGATTTTTCTTTTTTTAAGGAAAGAAAACCATTATTATCCCTTGTATGAAAATAAAGGTGAAACCAAAAAGAAATATCTGCTTCTCTTCTTGTTTTGGGAATTGACGAGGCACTAAATTTTTTATTTTATTTATCCCTGTTTGGATATCACAGTTTTGTCAAATTTTCGTTTAATTAATTGGAAAAAGTTCATAGCAGATATACTCAAATAATAGAGTAATAGAAATTAATAATACGATATCTAGTCGACCAAAATATATACTCCCTCCATCCCAATTATATAGGCCGAGTTTCCTTTTTCTCTTATCCAAAATATATAGGCATATTTCCTAATGTAGAATATTTTATTATGTTCTTTTACCAATATACCCTTATTAAATTTTCCACACTTAATATGTCAATTTCTTGAAATCATCCAAATACACACATTTTCTACTTCTTGGAAATATGAAACAACTCTTCTTCTTCTTCTTCTTCATCTTCAAATTCTATATTAGTTCCAACAATAATTTAGTTTTACATTTTGAAAATTAAATATGAGTAAACTAGGAAAAATATTGGCAAAAATTAATTTTCCAATGACATTAAAGAAGTTTTCTTAATCCATGTGAAAAAACGAAACAATCATATATAATTGGAACGGAGTGAATATCATCTAGGAAGTTGAATGATTCCTCATTTCTTCTAACTTGGAAAGGACCCATAGATTATGTCAAATAACATGTGTTCTGAATCAATTCATGAAGTTCATTTATCAAAAGTATCATCAGAAAGTTTTTTGAAACGACAGAAAAAGAAATCAATTGTTATTTGGACAAAAAAAAAAAGACTCCTATCCTTAAAATCCAACGGGCTTTTCCAACACCTTTTTTGTAGACAAATATGGGTACCTATGTATGCACACACACCCACAAATATAAAAAGTGTACGTGCGAGTCTTTTTATATGCGATTGTGTGCAATATATATAGGGTTGTGCACACGCGTCTATTAATATAAAGAGTAATGCTATCCAGTCTTATTGAGATTATAACCTCGTTAAATGATAGGTGATCATTTAATTTCATATTCCATTTAACATATCACTTAACACCACATAAACTGAGGTTATAATTTCAGTGAGGTTATATATATATACAGAAATGATCTAATGAGCACCGGTGCTCATCTTATCCTAAGCACCGATGAGTTGCCACATTAATTCATTGATGGATAAAGATTTTGTGAGTTACAAGAATTACATATATTAATGTTTGGGCCAAGAATCATTACTAAAGATGACAAAAAAAAAAAGACTCCTATCCTTAAAATCCAACGGGCTTTTCCAACACCTTTTTTGTAGACAAATATGGGTACCTATGTATGCACACACTCCCACAAATATAAAAAGTGTATGTGCGAGTCTTTTTATATGCGATTGTGTGCAATATATATAGGGTTGTGCACACGCGTCTATTAATAGAAAGAGTAATGCTATCCAGTCTTATTGAGATTATAACCTCGTTAAATGATAGGTGATCATTTAATTTCATATTCCATTTAACATATCACTTAACACCACATAAACTGAGGTTATAACTTCAGTGAGGTTATATATATATAACGTGTGGATATCTGTATATCTGTATGAATTTATGTGGTTACAGACATTTATATAAAGGTTAGAATTTTGACGAAAAAGTGATTTTGTTAGTTTTATGGTTATTGAAACAAATTAATACCTTTTTGAATTGAAGATGTCTTTTACATTGGATTTCAGTTTTAATTTTATAAACTTTAACACTTTTATTCACACATAGGATTTTACAATAATAATAATAATAATAAATTAATTATTAATTTAATATAACCATGTTATGGGTTCATATTTAGAGAGTGAATTTGACAAAGTTTTAAAATAAATAATAATGAATTAGAATATTAACACGTTGACGCCGTGGGTTGTGCGTAGGTATGGGCCTTTTGGCCCATATGTTTTTAATTTAATTGCCTTCCAATCATCCAATATTTGTGAACATATTTTTAATTTAATTGCCTTCCAATCTCAACTTTGATTTCATACATTTTGGTTTGAAAACTCCAGTACCACCTTAACATTACTCACTTTTAGTTCTTTATCTTCCTTAGCTACTATTGACATTAAGAATCCCTGCAACCTTCTAACTTCAAAAGTTTCTTAATCTTGAATGTCGAAATGATACGGGATATGAATTTTGTCTTGTTTACTAAAAGGCGAAGTTTTATATTTCTAAGTTACTTAAAAACCACTTTCCATTAAAAACATAGAATAGTTACGTGATTCTTAAAAAGCCAGTCCATTCAAAAATCAGGTCGAACTCTTGCATGTTCAAAGCATATAAGTTCATCTTTAGGATTTACCATCAATCTCTACCTTCGCTATCCTCACTATGTTGTCTATAC